TTCTTGAACAATTATATCAGTGAACCTCAGAGCCATAATAAATGCATACCATTAATTAATTATTGGAGAATTAATTAAGGGTGATGCAGATTCCAACAGAAGAATCTTCAAGATTCTTGTTTTGATCTTGAAGAAAATAGCTTTGATACAGAAATCAGTGATTTGAGACATATGCTCAAATCCTGAAAATATACATCAAGCACCTATTCTGTTAGCTGCTAAGGAAATACAAAGGCAGATGAAGAAGAAGCACTGTCTTCAGGTAGAGTAGGTACCAATAGCATATTTGAGCAGCCTCCACATAGTATTAAGTTGAAGTGGAAAATTTAAGTCACTGAGGCCATATTGCCTAGGTTCAGATTCTAGCACTGTCATTTATTAACTGTGTGACCTTGAGTAAGTTATTTAAGTTGTTTGACCTCTCTGTTCCTAGAATCTACAACATATTATTGTGAAAATTAAAATGGGTTAATATAAGTACAGCACTGATTAAAATAAAATACCTGCTATAGCAAGCATCATGTAATACATACATTCCAATTTCTAAGAAAACAATATTTATCAGAGCCTAAGTCAATTCCTAACCCAGCTGTCATTTACTAACCTGGTTTACTGTCATTTACTTTGACCAATCATTGGGCCTTCTCTCATTTATAAAATCCTTCAATTGATATCATGTTATGTGAAAGCACATCTGATATACCAAAATTCCATACAAGTCCAAGATATTTATTACTGTCATTATAATATGAAAATTAGCTTTACCTACATAGCAGAGTTTGTCTTGAATATAGGTTCTGTACAAATGAATCTGGTTTATGCATCAAGTTGTTCAGCTACTGCTCAGATTGTTTTTGTTTTCGAATATTTACTGGTTTTGCTTTTACTATATAACCTGCTATATGGTAGTCACTGCGGACACAAAAACGAACAATCAGAATGCCTGGAGCTCACTGTCTGGCAGGAAATATTCAAGTAAAGGATGTCTGTTTCCTAGAAAACAGAGCAGGGGCACTTGGTAGCCTCTCCAGAGGATGGAGACAGGAGTAGAGGGGCGGGGGAATACCATAAGAGGAGGTGTCACCTAATTGAATCTAAGTTCTCCAAGTAGACAAGAGTAGGAAGCCATCCCAGGTATTCAGGGAATTGCAGAAAGGAAGTTTCAGTGCAAGGTTCACCTACCACAAGGCAGAGGCAGGAAGTGGTACAAGGGAGCCAGCTCACAAAAGGCCCCTCGTGTGCCATATTATGAAATTTGGACATTGTCCAGTAGGTGACTAGAAGCCACTGAAGGACTTTAAATGCAGGAAAGTAAACATGTTTGTATTTTAAGAATATCCTTTGTGCAAGAATGAAGAGAGGCTAGCAAATCCATTTGGGAGGCAGTTGCAATGATCTGATGTCATCTTGAAATGCTAAAAACCAATTAACAGTACATAATCCACAAACAAAACAAACTACTAAGTTAGCTGCTTTTCTTTTCAGAAAATAAACAACCTCAAAAATGTTCTTAAGAGTGAAAGAACATTGGTCACAATAAGAAGTAAGAAAAATGGTAGACAGGAGGGACAGGACAAATATTTTAAAGAAATTAAAGTTAAAACAGAAGACATTAAGGTGAATCAGTTAAACTCGAGATCTCGGTTGTGATCTTCAGTGAAACTGAGATGATATTTGCCCTTCCTCATCATGATTCACAATGAGAGATAATGTATATGAAAGAATTTTAAATGATACGCTCTGTAAATATAAACTGTTACAGATACTAAAAAAAGGAAATTCACAAACGAAAAGACATTTCCACTAGAAGAGAAGCTCCCTAAAGGCAAGCGCTACATTTCCCCTATTTGCTGCTGGATTGAAGTTGTCTTCTACATAATATTACAGGCAGGCACAGTGTTAAGTACCCTATGTGTATTAACTCATTTAACTCTCACACACTCTTGTGATGGAGGTAGGTTTATCATCTACATTTCATAGACAGGGAAAATCAGACCCAGAGAGATTAAAATGCTTTCCCTAGGTGGCCACACAGCTAATAAATTACAAGGCAAGGATGGATTCAAACCCAGGCAGTGTGTGTGGAGTCTGCTTTTAACCACCACGTGAGTACACCATAGGCATTTGCTGATTCGGAGGAGTAGTCAGAATTTCTGAAATTTTTAAATGATGGACTATTTTAAATGCAACTTTATTAGTTTCGAGTGCCCTTTAAGTAACTAAAACATTTGACAAGTTTTACCTATTATATTAACAAGAAAAAAAAAACCTTTATACATAAACGTGTGCTTCTAAAAAGCCAGATTTTTTTCTCTGTGAAGCTAGATGAATAGCTATAAAGTTCATCTAGAAGAATAAACATGCAAGAAAATCTTGGAAATCACTAAAAATTTAAAAAAAAAAAGAAAATGGACTGTAGAAAGTGGGCCACACTAGATATTAACATATTATAAAACCTGAATAATTAAAATGATGTGGTATTAGTACTTGAATAGGCAGACTAATAGAACAAAAAAGACACGTAGAACAGACCTAAATGTATATGGAAATTTAGACTTTTAAAATAATGACTACACTAAAAAGTTGTTAGACTATACAGCCTACGAAGTCTATCTTTCCTAAGTCTAGAAACTTCCCACTATAGTCTTTCCTGTAGGATTTATTTATATGGATCATCTTTATTCAGCAACACTTTAAAGATAAACTTTATCCCAGGTCATTTCTAAACAATTATGAATTCTATAAAAATCAGTTCCATAAAGTATCTGCTCTAAGAAGAAAAGAGGATTGTTTGACTAAATAAATGGAGACAAACAAGTAACAAAAAGGCAAAAGAACCTATCAGGAAATTAAGACACTGGAAGACTAATTAGCAAACATGCATTGACCCCATGCAGAACACCAGAAATTTTAATAGATCTTAAGGGGTAAATAATGCCCCCTTTTTTCAGAGAACCTATCATTTACATGGGAGCTGATGTTTAAACAAGATCCTGTATGTAAGGAGCTGAAGGGCTATGCTAGAGGCATATATGAGAGTCAGAGGACACTCGGGAGGGAATAGTTTTAATGGGCTAGGATCGAGGCATAAGGGTGGAACAGAGAAGGTTTCACAAAGGAAAGGACATCCAAGTCCACTGTAAAGAATGAACAGGGTTCACTTGGGAGAAAAAAAAAACATCCAGGAATGAAGGGTGCAAGGGCACTCCCATCATGGAAATAGAATGAGAATGGCCTAGCTATGTTTAGAGTTTACATAGCTTGCAGGAGCGTAACAGGATGGAAGGCAGACAGGTAGGCTGGAGCCAGCTATTGACTAGTCTGGTATGCCAGGGCAAGAAATGTTAACTTGATCCCACAGGCACCAGGGAAACCACTGATTCTGTGATTTCTACATAGAAAGGATTATAATTGGTGTCAGATAGGACAGTGCAGTGGGGATTGACTTAGGGAGATTGTTAGGAGGGTACTGCAGCAATCCCAATGACAGTGTTGGGAGCCTGAGCTATATAGCAAAGGAAGTGAGAATGGGTAAGATGTCAAATTCAAGAGAAATTTTTTGGATAAAATCTATAAAATTGATTGAAAAGATGGAGTGAGAGTCAGAGTGAGGAATGAAGTGTCCATCACATGATGAAACCTACACCCTCAGGGAAACCCACAGCTGGTTTCCCCACCTCTGCTCCATGCTGCAGACTTTGGACTTCCTCTGTGGTCTCTCTGATCTCATTGGCTACCTGTCACCATCATGAGAAGCCTGGTCTCCTCATGGAAGGTGTGTCACGTGGCCCCTGCTTTTCTCTCAGACCTCACCAGCTACTGCTCCTTCATCTGGCCTTGCACTGGCCCTTCGCCAGCATCCAAAGGATTCCCAGACTCCCAAACAGAAGTCCCCTGCTCCTCCATTTCTCTCAGGTTCTGTGTGCTCTTGCCTCTGCCTACATACCTCCCTCTCCCGCCATTTTTTTGTAAACTTTTCGAAATATCTAGGGCCACAAACCGTGGCAGCCTCAGTGTAGTAACTCAAATGCATGTTCATTATGATTGAGAACAACAAAAATGGAGTTAGGCTTCATCTGAGTTTGTTTTGTTTTTGAGATGGAGTCTTGCTCTGTCGCCCAGGCTGGAGTGCAGTTGCGCCATCTCAGTTCACTGCAACCTCCACCTCCCAGATTCAAGCAGTTCTCTGCCTCAGCCTCCTGAGTACCTGGGATTACAGGCACTTGCCACCAGGCCCAGCTAATTTTTACATTTTAAAGAGATGGGGTTTCACCGTCTTGGCCAGGCTGGTCTTGAACTCCTGATCTCGTGATCCACCAGCCTTGGCCTCCCAAAGTGCTGGTATTACAGGCATGAGTCATCTGAGTTTTTATCTGCTCCTGAAATCCTTTCCTGACCCCATGCCTTGAGTTTGCCATATGTTGCCCTCTTTCTATCCTCTTACTACCAGGTTTTCATACTGTTGTAGAGTTTACTCACATCTCCCATAGATTGTGAACATCTTAAGGGAAAGGATTACCTTTTATCTCTACATCTCAAGTTCTAGCACAGTACCTAGTAAACATTAGTCTCAATATTGGAGGGTGATCGGATGGGATCAGATGGAGGGATTGGAGAATCAAAACAATAAGGGTTTACAAGGACATAATCAATAATAAAAAGAACAGATTGATTCTCCTGTTAGTGCTTAAGAATTTGGGTTCCCTAGGACTGAAGGGAGAAGATAATCTTTTGAGTATTCTCCATGGTAAAGGAGAAAGTGACATGGCTTCCCCGAGAATTACTCTGTCCCACCATTTATATGCCTCTTCATGGATGGTTCATCCTATGAGCATTGAGAGGCCAATACCCTATAAGTCCCAGATGATGCAATGTGCCTCGGAAGTACCCAGCCATCCACTGTGGGCTTACCTTTTCCAGGCCTTCAGAGAAGAACCATCCCTAGAACCTCAGACTTCACCATTTACATCTGCAGTCTTACATCTTGGTTTCTGTTATAGAATAAAGACCCCAAGATGGCTCGAGTTGCACTGGAATCTCTCTACAGATTGCTTTGGGTTTATATGATTCGAATTAAATGTGAAAGCAACACAGCTACTCAGAGGTAAGGATTTGGCTTGTGTCAAAGGTAACCACATTACTCAGCCACTGCAGGGGGTATTTCTTTTATTACTGCCTATTGCTAACTCAGGTAGAAGCTACTCAAAGCTGATTTAGATCTAAAAGATCTAAGTCCTGAGGAACATTTTCAGGCTTTCCATAGTCATTGGCACAACACCCATTACAAAAGCTCCAGCCTCTACCAGGATCAACAAGTTCCACTTCCAGAGTTGCATTCGCCACTTGAACAAAAAAAAAAAAAAAAAAAAAAAAAAAAAGCTGTAATTTTCAACTGCTCTAAGTTTTCCAGAAAAACTTTTCGTAGAGTAATTATGCTAATGGATAGGGTGAGGTGGTTTGTTTTCTTTTTCTGAAATCTCTCTGATACTTAGATAAGATGAAACATGTGCCATTTTCCCTTAAAGAACTGGAGCTCAGCCAATCTTGCTTGTTTTCTCTTTTCCCCCTTATCTTTCAGCCGACTTATAACCATCATCACAACACTTTTCCCCAAAGGGTCCCGCGGTGTGGTGCCAAGGGATATGCCTCTGAACATCTTTGTGAAAATCATCCAGTTCATTGCCCAGGTAATGGAGAAGACTCTGGTGTGGGAATCTTCTCATGGTTTCTAAGCAACCAGCCTCCTTCTTATGAAGGAGTAAAAGATGGAAAGTCTAAATTAATCTCGTACATGTTTAGACTTCTGTGAAAGGTTTAAAGTGTTTCCACACACAGCCTATGGTTTGCTTCAAAACAAGTTGTGAGCTGAGTACATCAAGTGTTTTCAGCATCTGATAAATGAAGAAACAGTTTAAGTGGCTCATCTGAGTCACAAAGTGTGTGAAACAAGATTGTCTTGACTCTTCACCTCTGTTTTTTTCCTGCTTCTCTGCTCTGGATTCTACAAGTAAAGAGGAAGCAAAGGGTCTGATGTTCAGAGAAAACCAAAAGAAAACAATTTAGCGAAATTTGAGGAGTAAATAATAATGTTCTTTCAACCTATGAAAAAGAATTTGATAGGAATATTAGCATTTATCAAGCACTCTTTTGCCAAGAAGTGTTCTAAGTGCTTTTTGTATATTAATGACTTAAAAACGGGTCTCGTAATATTAAACATAGTTTTTAATATGTAATTTACTATTTAAGCCCAAGAGTTGTACTTTTTAAAACACTTTGTGAGTAAATGGGTTTACCCCAACTTTGACCTTCGTGTACAGAGGAATAGAAAAAGACTATTATTCCAGTCCAGCCTCTGCCGTGAGCCAGATCTATAACCTTAAACAAGTCAGAAAACATCTTTTCTCTGTTTCTTTAGCTGTAAAATGGGGATGAAAATGTTGCCTCAGAATATCGTGTGCTTAAAAGGAAATAATAGGCATGAAAGTACTGTTGAAGTAAATTGATGTAAAGTGTAAGGTTCAATTGCCACTTCACAGACGATTTGACAGTAATATCTCTCTTTGTGTCTGGTGCAATGAAATAGAATAGCTCTGTAATATTTGTACTTAGGAAAAGGACATTACTTGCTCTGTAGGTCAAAGAATTAATGTAATTTTTCTGTATGTAGTTATCATGTGGCCAAGAATGTGCTTTGTTTATTCTGGAGTGTGTTGTATAAAATGAACCTGTTTTATTTAGATATGTATAAATAAGTATATGTGTATATATATATATATACACACACACATATACACAGATATCTGATATATTTTTATATATATTAATTATTTATATATACCTGATATATTTTACATGTTATACATATTCCTGATATGTTTTGCATATATTAATTATATATATACATTATTATATATATACCTGATGTGTTACTCCTGTTATACTATATATAGGTCTATACCCCTGATATATTAAGTAGTCTTCATATATCTTATGTGTTGATTACACGTCTCACTTGCAGAATTGTTGGTTATGAGCCAAAGGATTTTTAATGTTAGAGAATAAAAGAAAATGATCATCTTGCAGTGATCTCTTTAAAAATACATTTTAAAGAGTACAGTACAAATAGGAAGAGTTCACACTGTTAATAAGCTCAGGTACCCCAAGTGTTTTGGTTATTTGATTTTGGAGGAGTCTTTTGTCATTAGTCATACTGTGCTTTAGGGGACAATTAACGTATTTTCTATAATGAAGGCATCCTCGCACACCACACAAAACAGAAGCAGCCCTACCATTGGTTCAGATGGGCCTTGTCTTCCTCCAGGTTCTCTGCAAGCCGCAAAACTGAGCAATGTCCCTGTTTTTTAGCCACCACCTATTTGTTTGATGCATATGATGAAAATAGCCATTTCATGTTGAGTTTGTATTTTAACACTTTGATTTGTGTTCTCGTTTTTACTATAGGAACGTTTAGATTTTGCGATGAAAGAAATCATTTTCGATTTTCTTTGTGTGGGAAAACCAGCAAAAGCATTCAGTCTCAATCCAGAGGTATGAATGATCCTTTTATGAACTTCTAACAGAACATGCCTTCACGGAGCCATACCTTTGCTTTGTGGCTTTGGAGAGTGGGTTGAGGGATCTCTTCCCACAAAGTCTTCTATTTGTTTCTGTTCATATCCAAATACAGATTTCAGAAGCAAAATTTTGGATGAATAGTCTTAGAATGAAATGGTTAGGTGAAAGGTTGATGTGCTGCCGTATTCTGTTCTCGTGTAACAGAGTAATTCTTGCCCAAAAAGATAATTCACTAAAATTCAGATTGTTTTATTTTAGAAAAGTTAGTGCTTTATTTATAACTGTTTAACAAATTTAGCATCAGGAAATCATGAAACAGAGAAGAACAAATATGTGTAATAATAAAAATTATAAAACAGTGAAATTAAATAAATAATGTGCCCACATCTGTTTCTGTGACAGCATCCCAACTCCAGGGCAGGCAGCTTGTGGAGATGCATATACAGTGGGCATCATGCACAACGTGGAGCAGTGGGGGCGGTGCACATGAGCAGCACACACAATTTTAAACTTTTAACAACACTGACTGCCAACAGAAGTAGGCCTGACACGCTGCCTCTTTTTCTATGAGGTTGCAGAAAGAACACTGGGCAAGAAGTCAGCAGAGCTGAATTTGCCACTTGCCACAGGCCCTGCTGCTTTTCCTAGCTGTGTGACACTTACCTCTATGAGCTCCAGCTTTTTCACCAGTAAAAAGGACAAAATGCTTTTCTACCTCAACTCGCAGAAGAATTGTGATATTAGGAAGAGTACATCAGAAACTCTTAAGAAAAAAAAAGAGAAGGAAGAAAAGGAGAGAGAGGCGGGATACTACACACCATCAAAATCAAATACATAGAGAGTTTCTGTCATGTCTGTATTATCATCTGGCTCCTTCTTTCTGTCAGTGAGGAAGGGGGCCTGAAGGCTGGAGACAGGCAGCTTGTTAGTAGCAGAGGAGACTCAGGTCCATTAGTCCCATGCTCCTTCACACCACACCTTGTATTCTCTGCTTGATACTAAGGTTGCCACATATCTAGGAACAGCACAAGAAATCAAAAAATGGGAGTTTCTGTCTGGTGTCCAGTGACCTCACAGGCTTCTGGAATGTCTGCAGCTAGGGTCTCTGGGCCAATGGGAGGGGGCAGGGCCAGTGCCAAACCAGAGCCTTTTGGCTGGAAGGAGGCCACTGTACAGCTGGAGGAGCTGTACAGTGAAGAGTCTTCTCTTGCTGGGAAAGTTCTCAAGACATTACTCATTTCTCAGCAGTCATGGCTCTACTGTCTTCAGCAACCAATTCTCAGAATTACTGGATTACTTATCTAAAAAGGACATGTTAAAAGCTACTACCATCATTATCACTGTCTGTAAAATGTATTATTGGTTCTTTTCTCAAACTCCTCATTCAGTCAGTGCTTAATTAGTTAACCTCTCTGTGCAGAGCAGTTGGAACTGTGATTTTTTTAAAAATCCCCATAGGAGTAAATATTTGGGTATTTTCTTTCATTTCTCGTGATCTTGTAGGGTTGTGGAAGAATTCATTTATCAGTAGTTGGTAATTATAAGCCCAAAGGCATATCCGTAACCCCACTCAAAAGCAGACAGGAGGATGGCACAGTCTGTGAAGCAGATGTCATAGACTCACTGAAATATGCTGAGGGCATGGTTTCTCAGGAAACAAGTTCAGATCGGGTCTTAAATAATATTCTGGAAGTAGCTCGTGGAACAAGGCATGGAGATCTAAAGGATTATCTTACTGTAAAATTTATGCTGCACCGCCACTCAACTCTTCAGTAATTTCCAGGCTATTGTTTTGGTTTAGCGTGTACCTAAATGACCTTCTGTGTACATCCCCATCATCACGAGGACTTGCTGGTCTGTGAGAAGAGTTTCTTGGTCAACAGTTTCTCGGTCAACAATTTCTGTTTTTCCTTGACCTAAAATAACGTGAAGCCGGAGGTCTTATTGCAGTGCTAGTGGCAACAAGAAGAAATAAAATCATATAGATTGGAAAGGAAGAAATAAAATTGTCTTTATTCACAGAGAACATGATTATTTATGTACAAAGAGCCTAAAGAAAACCTACTAGGACTAATACATGATTTTAGGAAGTTTGTAGGGTATAAGATAAACAAAACCAATATATTTCTATATCCTAGTGATGATCAATTGGAAATTGAACAATTTATAATAGCAATGAAAAACAAAATACTTAGCACTAAAGCTGACAAAATAGATGCAATATTTTAATACTGAAAATTATAAAATACTGAGAGAAAGCAAAGAAGACCTGAATTGTGAAGAGAAATAACTGTTTGTAGATTGAATGACTCAGTGTTAAAAATGAGAGGTCAGTGGTCCCCAAATTGATCTATATAGAATAAACTGTAATCTCAATAATAATAAACACAATTAAAATCTCTGTACCTTTTCTGTAGAAATCAAAGCATATCCCTTGGAGATACACCCAGCATTCCCCTCAACAGAATATAGTACATAAATATCTCAAATGTGCCCTCCGCATTCGGTGAAATCTCCCTGGTTGTTTTCTTATGATGCAGCAACAAAAACAGTGACAGAAACTTAATTTTATTTTTGTAAGTTTGTCCTACACGCTTGTGCCTTTTAAATGATTTTCTCATACTAATGTACATGCAAGTCAGTCTTCACTCTCTGATAGACTTATGGATGAATTCCACTACAATAACTGGGCCTTCCTTTTTTTCGTGAAAATATTGTCTCTCACAGAGAATGAACATTGGTTTAAGGGCATTCTTGGTCATAGCTGATAGCTTGCAGCAGAAAGACGGGGAACCTCCCATGCCGGTTACAGGAGCCGTTCTTCCTTCAGGAAACACATTGAGAGTAAAGAAAACATATTTGAGTAAAACGCTAACTGAAGAGGAAGCCAAAATGATAGGTGGGTGTCAGAAGCGCATTAGAACTAAGCCTTTCTAAGCCCTTAAAATAACCAGTAGATACTTATCTTTAGTGAAATGCACTGTTTAAAAATCTTTATAGAAGTAGATGATAAGACATTCCAGCATTAATTGTTTTGATTGATTCGTGCTGTGTTTTGTTTTACTGCTCTTTAAGCTTTTTAGAACTTCCTGGTAAATATTTTGCCATTTAAATGTTAGACTTTTATCGCCTCTAATATTGACTACTACATTTTACTGTAAGTTTCCAAGACATCCATGTGCTTGCTAGGTAATCCTGTTTATCATTCATTCATTCATCTCCTTCTTTTTTTCTTTAAAGTAGTTTAACGTGTGTTTTAAACACGCCAAATCTCACAACACACACCAGGTTACATTGTAGATTTAGACTCATGAGATGAATTTTTTTTAAATTTAACTATCTTATCCAAAGAGATGATTTTTTACATTTGTTTATTTCTTACCAAGTACCCAAATGTAGACACCTGCTATAAACTTTATTAAGATAGTTCCTGGATTCTACAGACCTGAGGGAAACACTTTTTGCTTTGAAATTTTTCTCTTTAGTTATGTAATGTGTAAATGACTTTTAAAAGATATAATGCATGAGAAATAATCATGCAAAATTATTTCATTAAGGTACACATTTTAAATACAAAGCTATTCACTTTTCATTTGTATAATTCATATACACATTTGCCTTCCAGTGTGGGACATTGACACCATAGTTAATATGAGCAGTAAAAATAATATAGCTAAAATATATTTTTCTTCATTTTTAAATTTATAATGTAAAGTTTTGTTTCTTTTACTAAAAATATTCACATGTGTATTTCAGGGTCATATGGAGTTATTAAAGTCCTACCCCAAAATGAGAATTATTTTTTATTCACATAATCACTAATGATGGTGAATTTTTTTATGCTAACCAGAAACTTCAACATTCAAATTGCTTGTATTTGACTTTTGTATTTTCTTATTTTAACTCTTCTGGAAACTACTTCCCATTGAGTATTAGAATTCCTATGAATCAAATTTAAATGATTATCTGGTGAACGCCTACTAAGTACAAGGTACTATGCTAAGAGCTATGCAGATGAGATTGAATCAGACAGCCCCTTGGCTCAAGGAAGTCATTGACACATAAGGTCTTCAGTAAAAAATGTTATAGAGAGGCCGGGCGTGGTGGCTCATGTCTGTAATCCCAGCACTTTGAGAGGCCGAGGCGGGTAGATCTTGAGGTCAAGAGATCAAGACCATCCTGGTCAACATGGTGAAACCCCGTCTCTACTAAAAATACAAAAATTAGCTGGGCATGGTGGCGCGTGCCTGTAGTCCCAGCTACTCAGGAGGCTGAGGCAGGAGAATTGCCTGAATCCAGGAGGTGGAGGTTGCGGTGAGTCGAGATCGGGCCATTGCACTCCAGCCTGGGTAACGAGCGAAACTGCATCTCAAAAAAAAAAAAAAAAAAAGTTATAGAGGATGAATAAATCAGAATATGCTTTAATAGATTCAGTTGAAGGCATAACTGTAATGCATGTTTTTCAGGCATGTCCTTATATTACTCTCAAGTACGAAAAGCTGTAGACAACATTTTAAGGCACCTTGATAAAGAAGTAGGAAGGTGTATGATGCTGACTAATGTCCAGATGTTAAACAAAGAACCGGAAGACATGATCACGTGAGTACAGTTAGGACTAAGTTATCAATGAAAGATTAACCAGAAGACACAGGTAGAGAGTGTTCTCATTTATCCTGTATTTTGTTTTCATTTTCTTAGAGTTCTAAAAAGTAGTAAAGGTAGTTTAAAAAAAAACTTTCACACTATTTGATTAACTATAAAAATAAAATCATATCTGTGATGGATCTATTTTGGTTATATCTCAAGTATCACTAGGTCAGTAAGTTAGAAAATGGGGCCCATGACTCCTGGTTCATGTTTTTCAGAAATGACATTTTGTTCCCAAGCACCATCACAACGCATGTGACATGGTGACATTCCAGATTTACAGACATTCCATCTTTATAAATCTCGTGACAGTTCCTACTTCATAGTTCCTGTGTGACTGTATCACAGACTGCATCACAGAAAGCATTTTAAGAAAGCATTTGTAGCTCTGAATGTAGAAATCAAGTCTTCTTAGCCAAAATCTAAAGATCTAGATTTACAATTAGAACTTGCATTTGCTGTTCTTTATTAACTATGGCAGGAACTAGGATTAGGTTATAATTCTATATTTTAAGAAAGTTTAGGCTTTGTTGTTGGGATCTGAATTAAATTACATTGGTAGCTGTGGCATAATTTCTAAAAACATAATTCGGCAAATTTCTTCTGTCATCCATCATATTCAACAACAAATATAGGAATTAATCTAAGGATTGTTACCTATGTAGAGAAATTCATATTGTGGTATGTATTTTTATTGCAAGTAGCATGTGCTCATGATTAAAACAAAGGCAAAAATGCAGAATTATTTTAAATATGTATTTAGTAGAATCAAAAGTTAAAAGCCTTCTCACATCCCCACGTGAAATCTGTAGTCATTTCTTGTCTCAATGTGATTCCTTCCAGACCTTTCCTTATGTCAATATAAACATATGTGTATACATACCTCTTTCCACAAAAGTGGGATTATATAATGCATATTATCCTGCAGCTCGCCAATTACTCGATTTAAATAGTGTGAAGATGATGTTGCTTTAGACTTTTCAACCAAAATAATAGCAGAATTGATATTGACCAAGATTAATAACATTAAAAATACTATCTAGAGCTCTAGTTCTTACCTCACGAATTGCCAGATTATCAATAAACTTTCAACCTCATTTTTCCATACTTCTTACATATATTAAAGCCATTTTCACTATATAATGTAGAAGATATAAGAAATGCATTAGGCCAGGCACGATGGCTCATGCCTGTAATCTCAGCACTTTGGGAGGCCGAAGCTGGTAGACCACTTGAGGTCAAGAGTTCAAGAACAGCCTGGCCAACATGGCAAAATCCCATCTTTACTATTAATACAAAAATTAGCTGGGCGTGGTGGTGCACACCTGGAATCCCAGCTACTCAGAAGGCTGAGGCAGGAGAATTGCTTGAACCCAGAAGGCAGAGATTGCATTGAGCTGAGACTGTGCCACTGCACTCCAGCCTAGGCGACAGAGTGAAACTGTTTCTAAAACAAACAAAAAAAGAAATACAAATGGTTATTTTCTCAAAAAAAATAAAGAGCTTTAAAGGAAACCATATTCCTAATCAATAGGCATCATAAGATAGGTTCAGGATAAAAACAATATATTCAAAATAATAAAAAGATACATGTTCAAATGTAAACATCTTATTTATGTTTTAATCCATGTTTCAGACTTTTTCTAAGACTCTTCTTTACTTTTTCCTATTCACACATCTTAACACCCACCTCCCAGATAGGGCTGGAAATATTTTTCATGCTAGAATTTAAGGCAGATTCCTGAGTGGAAGATAACTCATTGCTTTATTTCTTTAAAAAAAAAAAAACGAAGAAGAAGAAGAAAAGAAATGTTAGGGATACGAAGAAGAAGAAGAAAAGAAATGTTAGGGAATCACATAAGCATTTAGGAGAAGAGGGTGGAGGCCCACGCAACACTAATGGAACAGTCATTGGAGTTGATATTTGAAGCTGGTCCACCACTTTCCCAGGCCCTATGTAGGGTAAGAACTTGCACATTGAGCATTGTGTGTTGCTCAGTCTTTATTCATCCCTTTTGTGGTTCATGCTAGTAAGGAGAAAGGAAAAGAAAGAAAGGAAGGCAGAGAGGGAGGGAGGGAGGGAGTAAAGAAATAATAAATAATAATTTTAACACCCGTTAATACATTTTCTTAATTATGTTGTTTTGGGGATTCATATGCTTCCCATAAAAGCCCAGACAGCAAAGACTGCAGTAGTAAGAGGAAATCATGCAGCAATTAGTTTCTAATCTAGGCTTGTTTTATCATCTTGGAAGTCTGGCAGTGTTCACCCTTAAACTTCAGGCCAGGCAAGGTCATCCATTTTCTGACAGATATAAAAATAATCCCAGCTGTTAAAGACATCTGGTGAGCAAACTAGTAGAACTGTTTAAACTACTCACTGTGTTACAGATGAACAATTAGAAGACATCTCTAGCTCTAACACTGTATAGCTATTGAGGATATCACCCGAAAACATTTCTTTCCTTGGCTGATTGGGAAACCCTGTGCAACTGCTTCCTCTGCTCCAGAGTCCTCAACAGCTCATGCAAAAGGTCTATGGATGACAAAAGACATAAGATTATTGAGAAAATAATCTTATGACTTCCCACAAAAGCAGATTATTTTGGAAGACAACATATATGTGTTTCATTTTTTATATAAACAATTTTGTATTCATTCTTAACAAATTTATAAAAGCACACTAAAAGGTAATATCATGAACAAAATTGCTGTTCTATTATGATCTTTAGATTACAGAGAGGACTGATTCTGCTTGTTGGATTTCTATTCTAACCACAGTTACTATTCCAAAAAGGAATTACTTTTATGCTACTTTGCATTTTCATTATTGTGCTTGTGTCCTGCAATCACATTAATTTGGTACTGATTCTGTATTTATGCTCAAAAGACTGAGTCATCGGACTTTAGATATGCTGTTACATATTGTCACTTAGGTCATTTGAAAGATTTGGTGGTTAGTTTAAAATTATTCCATAAAGGTAAGTGGTTAAGAATCAAACAGTTCCCTATTAAAACAACTAAAAATTGAAAGAACATAAAATATGTTTCTCCTTCACATTTTCCAAAAGAATGCAGATGTTAATTATCATTAAACATTCATATTCTCAAGAAATTAATTAAAAATAGAGAAGGATATCTCCATAGAGGTCAGACCCATCAGTGTCATTTTAAAAGTTAGAAATGGGTGCACAACTATATACGTTTCAGGATTTTACTTATTATGAAAGATTTGTTTTGGAAGCATTTAATGTTTTAAAAACAGGACAAGGGGCTCTAGGGGACAAGCATAACTCACCAGGGAAAGAAGCTGCCAAATGTCACAATTACAAAAGCACCATTCCTTGTACATATAAAAATTCCATTTTTAAATGCTGGATGTAGGAGTAAGTGAAATAGATTTCTTCATGCTGATGCACTTAGCCATTTCCGTGATTCTGGTACTTTAAATGCAACTGGACCAGACCCAACTAAAGGGCAAACCCATGGTAAAATACTATTGATAGCAGCATTTTTCTTTTCAGATATATTTGTCTGTCTTACATTTAAATTACTTAAAGTTTTATTAGAACTGGTCAAGCTACAAAGGGTCAAGCTACAAAAGGTCAAGCTACGTTTAAGAAAAATATGAAGCCAACACCAGGCTGTGAATCAGAGAGCATGGATTCTCATCTTTGTTCACATACTTAATTCATTTTGTTTTTATTTTCACAGCTTTTTGTCCTATTTTTAAATTTTGTCTTCTAATTCTAGGGGTGAGAGAAAGCCAAAAATAGATCTTTTCAGGACCTGTGTTGCTGCTATTCCTCGACTGCTTCCTGATGGGATGTCAAAACTTGAACTTATTGACTTGCTGGCTAGGTAGGTGAGAACATTATTTGATGAAAAGTAATTTCAATCCTTTGTCATGACTCCTGAAAAAAAAAATAGAATGGTAGTTTACAGTGGACAAATATTTACTGAATGAGGTGCTATGATATGGGCAAGAAAAGACAAATTTGTAAGAATTATTTTTCCCGTGTTCAAGGGGTTAAAAATCCAACTTAGAAGCAAATACAGAAGCACGTAAAGTTGCTAACAACCCAAAGCCTGTGTTGTGCAAACTAATGGCACAAAAATGTATGATAAATGATTCATGGGTAGGAGTGAAATATGGACTGGGGAAAGCAACAAATAACTTCTGAGAGAAGGTGGAACTTAAACCTCCGCTCAAAGGGAAGGTGGAGTTCAGAAAGGTAAAGGCAGAGATGTGAGCAAAGGCAATGGGGTGGGACCAGGAAATGAGATGGGCCTGGCCAAAAAAGAGTTCATTCGGAATCTCATGTCCAATCTGAGGTCCACAGACTCCCATAGGACCAAGAATGCAGGTTGTGGGTATCCTAAACTAGTTTTAGCATAGTGTTTCAGAAAGCTGCCCAAAATCATATTTATCACCCTCCCAATGCACAGTCCAACGAGAACCTAAAATTTATTTTCTTTGAGTGAGAGTATCTTATTATACTTCAGTAAGCTTAGTTACCTCATGTTGATCTGACACTCTAGTTGACAGCTTCGCGTGTCTTTAATTTAAAAACCAAAAGTGACATAACCTAAGTGCAATTTGGAAAGCAAAATTATTAGACACATGGGATGCATGGAATGAGGAAGAACAAAAGTCATCCTTGGTTTGGGGGAGAAAAAAGAAAACAGTTTACCAACCAGATGATGGAAGGAAATTGAAATGAGATTGGAGAGGTAGATTTTCAGCTAATCTTATGTACTTGCTGAGGCATTGAGACTGATGAAGTTTTAAGCTGGGGAATAAGATGATAAAAAATGTCAGTTTAGGCTCTACAAATCTGATTGTGGTAGAATTTTAAAAAAAGCTTTGAGGATAACAAATAGTCATGCTGACTGAATGAAAAATGGATTACGCATAGCCTAGTTCACTCATGTTCTCTCACTTTCTGAGCACGCCTTTCCCATCAATATTCAAAAATTACCCAAGCTCCAACCCCACATGGCTGCACATAATCAGGTGGCCTCCTGAGGCTCTGAGTGTCCCCATGGAACCCCATGTCTCCTGGTTATTGTGGTCATGGTCTCTTTTTCATGGGCAGCCAGCTTGGGCTCCTCTGTTGATTACCTCTTGCTGTGTAGTAACAGCTTGTAGAGCCCACTGCCCTTTCCCATTCCTCTTTTTTTTTTTGAGATAGAATCTTACTCTATTGCCCGGGCTGGAGTGCAGTGGTATGCTCTCAGCTCACTGCATCCTCTGCCACCCAGGTTCAAGCAATTCTCCTGCCCCAGCCTCCTGAGTACCTGGGATTACAGGTGCCTGCCACCATGCCAGGCTAATTTTTGTATTTTTAGTAAAGAAGGGGTTTCACCATGTTGACTAGGCTGGTCTTGAACTTCTGAATTCGTGATCCACCTCCGTCAGCCTCCCAAAGTGCTAGGATTACAGACATCATCCACCACACCCTGCCTGTGTCCAAATGCAAATTAAATTCCTCTTTAATTTGCATTTGGACACAGCCACTCCCTTCCTCCTTCCTGACACCACTAGCACAAGAACAGTGCTGAATGTGAAGGTTTCCTGAACTCCTGCTACCTTCAAAACCATGATTTCAAGCCCTTGTGCTCTCTGACCAGAGCCTTCCACGTTCTGGCTGCCGATGTCACCCAGCTTCTTTCTGCTGTCATCAGCAACCTTCCAGCCATGGATCCTTCTTCCTTCCAGTCCACGCTTAGGGTGTAACTTTTGAGACCTAGCAACCAGAGTGTGAGTGAAAAGCACATTCCCTGGAAGCAGGAAAGCAGAGGGAAATGGGAAAAAATAAGCCTGGATCAAAAAGGGCTTTCCAGTTCAGGGTGAGAGGAAGACCTGTGGAGCAACAAAGGGTGGGTTTCCAAAGAATAATGAACACAATGATTTAGGGGCTCTGGGAAGCTGAGAGAAAAAGAGACTAAGACTGTAAGGGTCATCCATACAAATATTGAGTCACCTGTGATGAGGGCAGAGACTGAGAATAAAGAAAAGCTGTGAGACAAGGGCTAGAGCTACTGAAAACATAAAGAAGAGCCTGTCAGTTTGCTGTGGTCAGCACTGGAGGGGGCAGCACGACCAGGAGATGTGTATTTCCCCAGAGCACAAGTGACTGAGCGAAAAGCCCCTCTCCATGGCCTCATGACCATCTAGAGAAAGAGGGACACCATCTGACACACCTGGAGGAAGCAGGACAAGAGAATGGGAAGAAAACAATCCTCTAAAAGCCCGAACTTAATTTCCTACGTTGCTTTGCCATTTTACTGCAAGGTCCGGACAAATTATTTAACCCTCAGGCTATCTTTTTCCCTTGGTAAAATTTGGGTGAAATTGGAATGAGATTGCCTACCTCTTAGGACCGTTGAGAGGGCCAGATGACAAGACGTGTGTTTAGAGAGAGGAGGCATCTGCAGCGAAAAAGTTATCAGTTAAATTGAAGAGGAAGGAAAGTTCACTTTATTCAATAAAAGTCTAACTGGTGATGATATACACCAAGGCCTTTGAAGTACTAAGTTCTTTGAATGGCGTGCAGTGTTCTGGTTAAGTCTCTAATACTATTTTGCCATGAGTCTGAGTGGGAGGCTTTTACCTCTGAAATCACCTTGACAGCCCAATCCAGTGACACCCAGACCCAGAGGCCGTGGTGCCAGGCGTGTTGGGAGGGAATTCTGTCAGATGTGGTTGGAATGCTAGTGCTATTTATGGTGCGTCCTGTTTATTATGAGGTACATTCTTACCAAGCCCAAAGCAATGGGTGCTGTTTGTTTCCTTCTGAGAGAACAGAACAAATAAATATTCCTGAGAGTTTAAGGGTTAGGGAGAAAGCAAGAAAATGACTGGACTTATATGGGAAACCCATGAAGAGATCTTTTTCATAAGCTTCAAAAGAAGCCAGAGCCATTCTCCTCAGGGGGGAGGATAACTGGAGCAAGTGACCCGCACACAGAGTTCTGTTAACCTGTGAGAAAATGAGCCTCTTCAGATCTCCTTGAGAGGGTCAGAGGACAAAAGTGAAGTAATTCAGTAGCAATAAATATGGGTTTCGAGTGCCACACAGGAAGTCTTCAGTCACTGTATACCCCCACAGTCCAGTTGCCTTCAGATTAAATTGACCTAAGATAATATATGGTCTAGTCAGAGAGGGGTGAGACCTTTTATTTCTGACACTTCACAGTCACATCCGTGGTACATGTTTACTTAAAAACCTGGTTTTTTAAATAATTGGTAAAATAAGGGCAGTGTTCATGCAGGCTGTCCATCCCTCCCAGCTCAGTTCCGTGTAAGGAGTTATAACTGTGTGTCCCGCACAACTGCTCCCAGGCTCCTCCCAGCATTTTGAGTAATGGCTGAATACCACAGACACCCACACCTCAGACATGCATTAGTATGTTGCACGTGACAACAGTGTATACAACGAAGCTGGAAAACTGCCTTCTTCAAGCTACCAGTTTTCTGACTTTACGTGGATTGCTCAGCCAGCTCACAATGGCCGAGTGTGAGAACCTTTCCATGTGGCTGCATGGAAGCTTCACGGGTCTTCCTGACATCATGGTGAGACCCATGGGGGTGCTTCCTTCCCATCCTCAGCAGAGCTTGGACTACTCAGTTGTCTGAATTTCTGAGGATTCTCCACATAGAAAGGGAAGCTGACTCCCCTTGGCAGCTGCCATCTTTTTCTCTCCCTCTCCTCTCCTAGACGTTTCCTGCTCTGTCATTTGACCACAAGAGGGAGCTTTCACCAGCAGTCCATAGGCTCCTGTCCTTGTCACTTCATTCAGTGCCTTGTATGCACCAAGGATTTGCTGTTCGGTATTCACCCTCCTTTTCCAAACTCTCAACAAATGTTAGTTATTATTTTTGGATATCTTCACATTCAAAGAACATACACTGTGCTATACAATGCATTTCATATACATTCTGTTAGGTAAGCTGAGCACACATTTATTCCTATTTTTAGATTGAACTTCAGAAAGGTAAATCTGATTCCCCAAATTTATAGCATTTTCCAGATGTCATTGGTTTTATGCAAAATAATAAGCACGTTTTATGTGGTGTTCCCTTATGACTTGGGGAGACTTCTGAGATAATGCATACACAGATTCCACAGTCTTCTGGGATGTCTAAAAATTATTAAGCATTTATTCTGCTTTCCCTTTTCAACATATGCCTGTGTTGTGGAAAGTGGTTAGTTGTGGAAAACCTGAAAGAGAACTCGTCTCAATTATATATATTGCCTTAGTCATATTTCCGTATTTTAATTGAGATGTAGTTCAAACTACTGTAAATAGATGGGGGTTCATTCTTTAATAGGCTCCGAGAAGAAATTTCCACCCCTTCTGGTGAACTATCCTGTTGGTAAATGGTCCACCTGTCTCAAGCCCCTCCTTTTCCTTGTCTGCTGGGCTTCACTTGCAGTGTAACTTCCCCCACTCCCTTTGGTGACATTGTGGGGCACCTCTTCCTAATAGCTTTTGCTTATCTTGCCTAGTTCAGAGGAGGATGTTTCTCCTAATTTATCTTTTCTTCTGGATATGGTTTGTGAATTTGAAATCACCCCTTTTCATTCATGCATCTCTGTACAAGAACACTATTAAAAGCTACTAAGCTGATTCCATCAGAATCTGAAGCTTACCTTAGGCAATCATTTTCCATTAAAAGTCCTGTTTCTGATCTGACCAACCAAGAGGGTAGCTTTGTCCAAATTCAGTTTTTTCACCACTTTATGACATGTCCTTTCTTGATCAGTAGCACCCTTGTCTGAGCAGCATGTGCCTTGTGATCACACCACTCACTTGTTCTCCATCACCACAGAAGAGCCCAGGACCACTGTCAG